ACACTTGTTTACGATTCCAAGAAACGAAACGTTCTCATATGAAATCTATAAACACGAAAATCAATAAACAAGTTCCGTCTTTTCGGAGCAATAAAACCATTTGCCTGCTCAATCTTCACTTAAGTTAATTTCGTGCGTATTTAATAAACATAAAACTTCTCAGACTTCTGCGAACATCATCGCAGCACTTTTATATCTCAACGATAGTTGTACTTTATGCGATATATTTTATGAGTATAGTATTAATATTCGCTGCTGCCATTAGAAATAAACCTGTGGGATCGGTGAGTGAGTGCAAATGTTATAATTGATGAGTGAGTAAAGGACACGATGTTTATTATCACGAACAATGTTTATTAAGAAGTCTTGAAGAAGTATAGTTAAGAAGTATTGTAGAGAAGAATAGTTAAGAACTGTAGTGTTTGAAGTCATGTGAAGAACTGTCCTTCCTAAACCCTTGTCACCCACCAGCAACCCTTCAGGTTGATGGGTGGTGACAAGAAATTTGGAAGTAGGAAGAAAGTAATAGATTGGATTGGTAGAAGAAAGTGTATGACATTGAAGAGAGGGAAAGCTGACCATTGATTCTGGGAATCCGAGTCGTGCCAAACCGTCCGACTCGGGGATTAGGTTTTCAAGGTAATAAAAGATATTAGGAAATTTGGGAATTTTGGATGAAGAATTACGGTATACAATAAAGATGAAGAAAGTTATAAAGTTTTGAAATACAGAAATAAGCTTTGGGTAAAGATCCCCACAAACCGAAGAAGCAAGTTACTTGTCGGTCACGGGCCGCCCTTCGAAAACAAGTGGCATTTAATAACCCGCTGCGAATTATTCCGCACATAAATTATGTTCCACGCGCAAAACCCACACACTGCGCGAAATAATCGTCCATTTTGTGTGTATGAATAAATCATACCTCTCGCAAAAGGCGTGCGATTCGCGTTGGCATAGTCGGTGGAGTAGTTGTTCTTTTTGTGCTTATCTCTAAATGAAATTCAAGACTTGAGGATATCCGAGAAGGAGGAGAGTAGTCGTTAGGGGTTTTTTGGGGGGTAGGGGTGCAATATATGTGGGAGTATATTGAGAATATGTAGTTTTTCATAGCTTAAGTTTCCAAAAGTAAACCGCAATTTTTTTTTTCATAATTTTAGTCAAAATAATATTATAAAGACAATTTTTAGTTTATTTGTTTGTTTGTTACGCTTTTATTCAAAAATTATTGAACCAATTTTGATAAATTTTGGTATAGAAATTTTTTTGACTTAGAAAAAGCAAACAGGCTACTTTTTGTTGCAAAAATATAATTGGAAGGGTGTTAAAGAAGGGATGAAAGTTAGTAATGAGATTTAGACGTAGTTATAGTTATGTATCTTGAATCTAGATGGCGCTAAAGTGTATTCTGACATTCTCATGTCTTTCAATTGAAATTGCAAATTTGATTTTCGCATATTAAGCGCCTAATACGTTTAAAAATCCAGAAAATAGTCTGTAAATTAATAGTAATAACAAAATACTTGAACTTAAACATAAAAACAAATTAAATCAAGTAAAATTTCTTACAAACACGAAATAATTCAACTAATAGAATTAATATAAGACGATATTTAATAATTCTAATATACTTTTCATAATTCCCTAGTGAATAACACAAGCACTTGTTGCTAGCAGTATACAACACGACTATAATCACATATTAATTTAATACCGTTGCGGGCGTCAGGTTTATTTGACGTTTAATTTAATTTTATAACTTGTTAGTAGCCGCAGCCGCGCCCGCCCGCCTGGAATTCGAAATGCGCGACGCGTAATAAGCGAATAAAACAGCGGCGCACAATGTAATGAGCTTCTATTGCTTCATTGCCCCGTAATAGGCAAAAAGGACTTATTGTCATCTTAAATCCGTTCGGTACTTATACCCAGCCTGTGGCCCCGTTTCCGCTCCTTAGATTACTACACGCGCCATAGCAACCATATCTCTTCCTCACTCTCACTCACTCTCACCCAGGAATCAAAAGAGCGTCTTCACTCGTTCATCTTACTCGCGAATCTTTTATCATTTCGAACGAGCGAACTTTTTTCCAGATTATATGCAGTCACTGCATGCACTCTTCGGTCTTCAATTGCTTCATTCTATGCTTCGACATTTCGCAGACTCTGGCCGGTGGAGCCGAGAGAATAGCGATAAGACTTTGAATATTCCAACATTTTAGATTTTGCGTTTTCGCAGAATCTTCCCTGGGATTCACAGTGGAAGCCATACCGAGACTGTATTTATTAATGCAATTAAATTTCCATTTGCTCGACTCTTAATTTTATTAGTTTTTGCGCCGGGGTGGAGAGACTTTAGTTCGAACTTGTAGAATTCGAGTTAAGCCCGGCCGCGCTTTTATCTTTAAACATTCCGTTTTATGCGCGGCCCTGCTTCGATCATAATTAAAACTTTAATCTTTTCTCATTGCGCGCTGCGGCCCGATGACGTGACTTTTTCTTGTGAACCTGAACCACCACGCAGTCGGAGCGAACGAAGATTGAGGTGTTTAGGACGATCGCGTGCGATGACTTAATTGCGACGTCGATGGCTGTAAATTGAACAGAAGAACGAGGCCGCACGCGAAAACTATTAAATAAAGCGTCGTAAAGCGTAAGATCTACGACGGGATAACAACGCCGCAAAAATTTAATCAGTTTTCCACTGTCGGGATGTTTTTAATAAAAAAATGATAGAAAAACATTGATTTTTTTATTTATTATTCAGTTTTTCAATCTCTGAGAGTGGTTTTGTTACAATTAGAGTAATTTTGTTAATTATGCTAATGAAACTTCATTATTTAATTAATTTTCATCGAAAATATTTATTTTTTTGTGTTTTTGGTTGCATAATCACTATATGCAACCCAAAATACACAAAATAACCAATTGAAAATGAATTAAATCGTATTTTTCGCAGGAAATATTTTTGCTGCGAATATAAACACATCTTAATCCCCCTCGTGTTTTATCCCCGCTCATTAAATGTTTTTGTGGTGCTTGAACATGCGAGCGACGTTAAAAATTTACACGCCGATTCGAATGCGCGCGCGGAGACAACATTTCATAGGTTAGGTTATGTGCGCGGATTACGTGCATGTGCCCCTACGCTAATTGCGATTTACGAGACGACAAGTTGTTAGTTTTAACTCGCAGGTCGTGCGTTACCTCTGCGCCGTGCACTCGCAAATTTTCAGCTACTGCGATAACATTTTTTATGACGCCATTAAAGATTTACTCGGCGTTAATTAAAATGTTTAAAGCGGTGCACAGCGCACGGCACGAATTGGTTAATATTTGTGCAAGTTGTATCGCAATTGAAAGTTGGTATTTTATACTCGAGTTAAACTGCGTGCGTTATGTTTTCACGCGAGTCGTAAAATTCCTACATGAGTAGTGTATGTTGGGTTGCATACTTTTTATTTTAATTTTAAACTGTAAACTGATAACCTTTAAAAAATGTAGTATTATTTTGTGTTTAATGGATTATAATGGATTATTTCGTGAGTTGTATACCAAACTAATTAAATTATTACGGTTCTCTGCGTGTTCTTTAAAACAAAAACAAAAAAAAATGTTTCTTTGGAAAAAGTGCTAAATACACGAATTTAATACGAAATTGCATTCTCGCAGCGGTGAAATTAGTTTTCTGGAAACATTTTTTAATTTTGTTACACTTGAATTTTTTTATATACAAAGTGTTTCGCTAAAATAAAAATTAAAAAAATACTATTCTCCAATGAGAGTTTAATAAACATACGATTTATTTTTTGACTTACTTGGGAAAAAGCAATCAACATTCGGATGGATTCATCGATCAATATCCGATGATTGCTGGCTTATGCCGACCGAAGAGCGCCAAACGAATAATTCGCACTCGTGCGTTTTTTTTCGTCTCTGTGCTTCTCGCTTAATTTCCTGCGCATTGCAATCTACTTTTTGCGCGCTGTGTGAAAGGAAATGATTAATGAATAAAATAAAGCGTATTGTAGAAAAGGGTGCGCGGCATTCTGAATAATATCGCTCGGCGATCTTTCTTGCTCGGGTTATTTGCCGCATCAAGAAGTTACACTCGCAGAAGGCAAAAAGCGCACTAGCAGCGAATAAAAGTTTTAAGGGTGCCGCTCGAAAATGCAACTATATCACTTAACTGACTCCCGCGGGCGGTGAAAAACGAAATAAACTACGAAATCACCAAGCGACGAAAAGTGCGCATGCGTGCAAAGTTTGTGAAAGAAGTTGGTTGGAAACTTTGGCTTGGCGGGCGAGTAAATTACTTAAAACTGCACAATTGCAAGCTGAATTTAGTAGAATAGACTAGCAAACAATGAACGCAATCATAATTTATAATTTTATTTAATCTAGACTGTATTGAAACAGTGTATATAACCTCAAAACTCATTTTTATTCATTTTTGTCCATTTTTGTCTATTTTTGAATTTTTTTAAAACGAAATTTGTGTTGATATTATTTGGGGTACATGAACTGCTCAGAACGTAAAGCAGTTTTACGCACACATATTTATTTAGCACTCATCTCGCGCCGGAGGCGGCACGTTTGACTCTTGCAGCGTGCCGGGCGATATTTACAAAAGTGTGCTCCACTCTTGTCAACTAATGTTACAGCAGAGGGTAAAGAGTGTATCCTGCACGTTCCGCACGTTACATTTTGACACTCATTCGCTGCCGTTTTGTTGATATGAACTACCTCGGAGTCCTCCCGACAAACATCCAGCAGCCGCTTGCTGGTGGAACACCTTGAGACTCGCTTGAGTTTGATGTTATTTATTTTTCTGCTGCTGCAAAAAAAAATCAACTTTGACATTTCAAATGTATTGCATGTCCAGAGAGTCGTGGAAACATGTAGAGAAATGTCTGTAATGTTTGATAAATGTTAAGTTTTATGATTAACCTTCAAAGTGTTTTTATTTGTCTTTGGATTAAAGTTATTTTATTTTTAATTTTTAGGTTGTATCAGAGGAGAATTCGACTTCAAACTGATTAGGTGAGTACTTTTTGGATATTTAACTTTACTTTGAGATTAAGCCTTTAAAGCATTTCCTGTTAGTGTCTCGTTAATAAATTAATGTTGCAACTACTTTTATACTCGGGCTGCTGACAATAATCTAATAAAAAGCGTCTTTTGGTAGAGGATTTTCGTGGGTGGAAAATTCTTGGTTTAAAGTGCATTGCAGATTAAATAAAATTATTCTTTTACTTTCACTTTTGAAGCGCAAGGTTTTTCCACGGTTTTGTACAAAAAGTAGTACTTTAGACACGGGCGTGACTAAAGTACTTAAGTCACGCGCTTTAGTCACGGGGTAGTACTTGCGTCAAAAACCTCAACGTGGAAATAGATTAGAAGTAGAAAAAGTAGCATAAGCAGTACGTGACTAAACCTTATTAAACACTCGATTGATTAAACGCTCGCTCTAAATAAATCTCGTGACAAAAACTTAATATACAATTTTTGTTTTGTGTTTTCTGATCAAAGTGAAATTAAAATTAACGTGCGTCAGTTATTAGCGTTTAATTCGTTTATCGATTCGTATATTTATTTTATTTGCTCCCTGGATTAATTCTGAATCGATAAATAATTTCACTAGCAACTTGTGGATTTCCCACATTTCAAGAATATATTGCGTTTGCTTTAATTATCCGCCAGCAAATCAAATTCGTCCTTTACTGCATTCGACGAATATTCAACTGGGATTAGTTTTCTGTGAATGCAGCGCATGTCCATATCGCGCGCACCAACATTTGAAAGGTTATTATTGATGAATTGACGTGTTTTCCACGTAGGCGAATCGAAGTCGAAACTTTTCGGTGTCGGTATCGGTCCGACGCAAATTAAATTCTGCCGTCCTTGATGGGCTTTTTGGTTAATTTACAAAATGACAAATGCCCACAGCACAATCATCTAACCAGAGGGGAAATCTTTGTTTTTGTGTCGTTATTGCGCTGTTTTTCAAATAAAACGCAAACTTTTTGTGCGCCGCTTTTGAAAAGCTTTTTTTTTCGGCGGTATAGTCGCGTTATTCATCGCCGCGGGCGGTCCCTGGCGGGGCACCAGTGGCATTAAATGCGAAACACGGAAACTCGGAGTGATTTCGCGTGCGGCGCGCGGAGCGGCGGGAAGAGGAAGTCCTGAGGGATCGCTTCGCTAATTATCATCGATCCTGGTACACCGAAGGATTGAATTACCATTCGAGCAGGTTTGCGGCACTTTTTACTCTTGCAACCAAAGAAGTCTACAACACAACAATTTTGTCTCGATTTTTTCTCTCATTACTTAACAGCGTACAGATGATGTGGTGATAAATGCTCTCGGCGAACGTTAACGACCAAGCATTCGCTTGTAATAATGGAAAAATCATCACACACAACAAAATTACATTTATATTAAATTCTCTTGATTGTGATATAATTCAATAATCCTTTTCCATGCGAGAGAATTCGCGTTGGCATATTTCATTTCGTTTAATAATCAGAATTAAATTCTGATTTTATTTTTGCGTTTCGGGTGCGTTGTTGCAAATTGTTCGCAAAATGCATCCGAGCTTGATTACGTCTGACGTCTGTATTGTTTTAGTCTGTGCCGTTCTGCATATTGCACAATGCCAGACGCCCGCAGGACTATCTGGCCGCAGGCAACAGGACTTTACTTTGGTAGGAATTGGACTCGACCTCGACGAGCGTGTAATACAATCAAGTCGCTCGTGGTTTGCAATTTGCACCCGGATAGATAATTGTATCAAAGGCAATTAATGAATAAGTCTGATCTAATCTACTTTTCCTGGTGGCAGACATCATTATTCTCTAATTTAAAAAAGTTAGGTTAAATTAGATGATTTTACATTTAATTCCACAAAATTACCACAGATGGCGTTAGTGTAACAATAAAACTGGTGGTTTTACACTTAATTTAACTAAAATATAACAGATGGCGCTAGTGTACTAATAATTTTTTGTTTTACAGTTAATTTCACTTGAAACCAGCAGATGGCGTGACTGAAACATCAAAATTTTTGTTTTTGATTGGTTTAGGTTATGTTGATGATTATAATGATGATAGTATTGAAACAACACTAAGTGGTTTGTTTGTAAGCCATCTGTTGGGCTTAATAGTTTGGGCGGTGATCCTTTAATCCCTCGCGATGAAAAACAAGCCGCCATATCGTCAACTCAACGTGTAGTTGCTGGTATCTTTAACCTAGCGATCTCAATCTCCTTGACACGGTGTAAATTATGTACGATGCGAAACAATCAAACAAATTATTATCATTACTTCCACTGGCAGATAAACGTAATGGCGGCATTCCGTAAATATATATCTATATATACCGTTATTTCTGTGACCGCTTTGCGCGCGTATATATCACGCAATTTCAGCTGTGTTATTACGGTTGTTTCGAGCTGGTCGCGCGCGCCATTGTTATCCGACTGGCGTTATTTGTAACTTTTCGTTGTTATTATTAGTTGTTTGTCCTAATGCTCGCGTGAGACGCATATGGCGAAAGCGGACAGCTCGGACAAATTATGTTTTTTTCATTTTATTTTTTGCGCATATCTGTAATATAAAAATGAATGGAAAAATCTGTTGGTTAGCGCATAACTCAACAACACATTGACCGATTTGGTCAATTCTTTTTTTTAAATATTTGTTAAAGTCCAAGGATGGTTCTTACGGCGAGAAAAAATTGAATAATTGCCGAGAAAACCTCAAAAACAGCCCTTTTCTATAGGATAAAAGTTGGCATTGCGATTCAATCATAGTTTTAGTTAAATAGTTGAATCCGAGATGGAGCGATGAAGTGCATTATTAGCTATTCTTTATATAATTAATTTCTTTAAAATAAAATTACGAATCTTATTGATTGAATTAACACTTTTACTACCGGGACGAAGTAAATACATAAAATCATCAAAAACAATTTTTATTCCGAGTGAATTTTGAGGTTAGATTACGCAGTGAAATTAAACATGTCTTATTGTGACTCTGACTGTGACTGTCAATAACGAGACGTTAAGGATGCAATAACAATGAGGAGGCGGCAATTGAACCCCATTTGTGATACAAAACAACGAAGGCATAAACAAGTCGCAGGCGGGAAGGTTCGTTCATCCGTTCATTTGTTTGCGCGCATTGTGCGCGAAACATTCCAATTAAATTGCCATTTTGTGAATAACGCTCCTGCGAAACGATCGCGATAATAAAATAAATTGCTCAAAGATGTGTGAATTAAAGGCATCGTTTCACCCCGACTGCGCATTCTTATTTTTTTCTTCTCGTAATATCAATAAACGTCTAAAAATACACTTTTAAGAAAATGCTGCGTGTAATAATTCATCTTGATTGAGGTTACACCGAAGGTTAATACTTTATTAGATCCCCGGGTTATATTTAGACTTTATGTTTTAAGAATGTGATGCGCGTCACACATTTTTGAACCCCCGCACATCTCTCATCCCCCCGTCATCAATTAATCACACGCACAGCGATCGATGCATGGAATTATAGTTGACACCGCGCGCGCCACCCTCGTCAACGTTTTGTCGTGCCAATACACCATGTGTTTCTTGTTGCTAAATATAAGGTGTGCATACAAATTTGTTTCGAGTTGTTTGCATGTTTCACTTTTGTGCGCGGCTGACATGTGTTTGCCTTGTTGATTCTAGTTGCCGGTGGTGTGTTGCACGGTGCGAACGACAACGAAATGCAAAACTATTGTTTTGCGCGCGTGGGTGTATTTGCGCACGTAGGTCCGACAGTGTGTCCAGGGTTGAGCGCCTCCGGCTCGACCGCGACGGGGTTGACGTGCGCGCGAGGGTGGTGGGTGTGATGGTTGTGTTGTGGATCTCTCCGGCGTCCACCTCCCGCTAGCTCTGTCCTTTTGCATTGTGTATGCATTACGCGTGAAGTTTAAGCACGTCCGAACTTCGGATAATAAGCTGGCACACGCTTTAATAAGATAGCGGATTAGAGTCAACAATTTGTTGCCAACCACACTCGTACGTCATACGCTACCTGCATTCGGAATAAATTTATGTTTTTATAGATTATTAAATTACTGAGGATTTAAAATTATAGTGGATTTTGCAAAAATTGAGTTAATTAATTATTTTTTTGTTTAATGGATCAAATATGAGCTGAATTCGTCAAAAAATTCCCAGTTTTAATTTCAAAGAGCGAAAAATGTGATTAATTCACTTTTGTGCCATCTATGTTTGATTTATAGAACTATAACGATGATAAAACATATTTTCTAACTTTCGTCCCTTATTTTACACCCTTTTAGTTATATTCTTGAATCAAAAAGTAGCCTATTTTGCTTTCCTTAGTCACAAATAGTTGTATACCACAATTTATCAAAATTGGTTGAGTGGTTTTTGCCTGAAAACGTCACAAACAACCAAAAAAAACGTAAAATTGCATTTATAATATCAATTATTGTTCATGTTATAATTATTACAAGTTATTTTGAAAAAGCATGTAGGTATTTTATAAATATATTGCTTTTTTTACTTTTTTTCGACAAAAAATCAAAAAAAAAATAAGTTTTTCTAAAAAAAAGTATGTTCTTAGATTCTTAGGTTTTTAATACAAAAACAGGCATTCAATTACTAATAAAAATCATTTGTTTCTTAATAAATTCCCACACAAAACATCATTATAATTTTTGACGTGTGGCAATTTGTTAAATCAGCAAAAGTCAATTGTTTGCTAAGTAATTAAGACGATATCTTACATGATGTAAAGCAACATGATGATGATGATGACAAGACAGAATAATGTTTGCAAAATAATGGAACGGCAGCGATTATTGTCGCTAACATCTTAACATGTCGAGCAACATCAATCATGTGCGAAAAGTTCGTCACCAGCGTCAATAATATAATATCAGGAGTGGAGCTCTCATGCCCCAGCAACAACGTACCGAGTTTTCGGCATTGTGTACGTCGGTTTATACCCCGGAGCGGCATTCTGCCGCGCCAGCAAATCGG